TTGATGCAGAATTATGGGAAATAAGTGTACCCTGGGAGGCATCACCAGCCACCTGGTGGGATCCTAGAAGCAAATACTATAAAACAAAGGGGAATGTACTCATATGTCTAACTACAGTGGGTAGATTATAAGATGAGACAGCCAGATGACAAAGAAAGTGAGCAACAAAGTTATGTGAGATAGTCCATATGCCAGCTAGAATGATCTTGTCTGGCAACCATCAGAAATGAGTGATGAGAGAGGTGACAAATCTGATGGGAGGAAATGTGGACCATGTGCGAGCAACAACCTCCAATGACGACACCAAACAAAGGATATGGCAGATCATACCGATAAAGGAAGTAGGAGATTTGTTCCTGGAGGAAGAGAAATCCCACATACAGTGTAAAACAGAAACCCCAAAAGTGAGAGGTACAAGGTAAGTAGCAATGATTGGCATGAACAAGGCAGAAAAGTCTGTCCAGGTCTGAATGAGCATAGAAGAGTGAAACAGAAGGATGAAAGAGAGGAGAAGGATAGAAGTCTCCTCCCCGAGTGGTTGAAGACCGAGGGAGGAAGGACTGGTTTGGAGAAATAAGAATATAAAGATGATGGAGAGAGCATGGGATGAGTTGCTAACAAAGATTTGAACAACAGTGATCGCAAGTAAAAAGAATATGCCTGAAGAGAAGGCAGTAGAAGTTACAGGTTGCCAATGGCTCAAATGGGCATGGATAAGAGCATGTTGGATGATACTGTGGTCCCAGTCAGGCACAGGAACAGGGCAAGTGTGTCTATGGATTAGGAAGGACCGAAACACAGTGGAGAGAACATGGAAGTAAACACCTTACTGTATCGAGCAGACTAAATGGTGAAGACAAGACTGCCCCATAACAGGCAAGAAGGAAGGTCCAGTGTTTGAAAGGAAGGGGTTCTGGATCAGATTCCCCCAAATTGGTTAATTGAGGAAAGCTAAGGAGTTGTTAAAAAGGAACAGGATGAAATGATTCACTAGGAGAGGTAATAATGGGATCATGACCAACAATCTACAAGAAGTTTGAGTGTCGGATATGGAAAAATGACTCATCTGAGGTCCATGTGCCAGATGTAAAAATTGATCTACAGGGATGCTCCCCAACAAGATGGGGACGCATAGGTAAAAAGGTGTATGACAAGTGTGGGTGGAGATAATGGAACATAAAGGTGATATTGGATCAATCCAGCTACCCATACAAATATTAGAATGGGGAAAGGAAAACCATTTAGGTTATAGAATCCTTTGAGGTGTACCTCTGGTTTCACAAGGACTAATGGATGAGATATATGCATATTACCCAAAGGGATAAGCAGTCCCCATGAAGCCACTAAACCTCACATGCAGAATGAATAGCATAGATGTGAATCCTATTGACTACAAGGTTCATAACTTGCAGGCAGATGGGAGAAGATGGATCCTAGTAGAGAATGAGTTGAAAAACACCCTCTCCTGGTGAATAAGATATTGAGTGGGAGTGAGGAATTGATGAAAGTGGTGACAAACACAGCTTTGAAGAGATATTGCACACAGATGGGAACAGGAGAAACGAAACAAGATGAGGGCAGAAAGGAGAAGAGGAAGGGAATGGGAGAAAGTCCATGAGTAAAAATTAGAAAAACCCCAGTTGGATGAAAAAATGTGACCATAAGTGCTCAAATTATGACAACTGGCCACTCACTGAACCTGACACGATGAAAATGTCATTGAGGAGCTCAACAAGTCTGCCACTGGGTAGAAGAGGATGTTGGGAATAAAAAAAAAGGGGACCAGGTACAAAAGTGGAGGTAGGGTTGAGTACAGTGTGGAAACAATGTATGAAAGTGAGGATTGATGACAGGCAGTCAAATCAGGAATACCACCAAACTTCATTGCAAAGAAAGGGGCTAGATGAAGGGATCAAAAAAGGATAAGGTAAAGACAGGAGTAGTGGGTGTACTGGAGGGCAAAACCTACACCAATAGTTTAGGTGGGAGTTGCCTGAAGGCTAGTGACAAGCAAATCTCTAAGTCAGATACACGGTGTGTGTCACCTCAGAATCTTTGTTTTTCATATTGCAGCACAAGCACTAACTTGCATTTTTGTTCCCATCTTATGCAAAGTGGTGTTTGCAATACACCTTGAATTATCACAAGTGATATTACAAACACTGTTACATATATATAGGTAGTATACAGATCTCCATTTTGAGTGGAAAATCTGTTTAAAAAATGTAGAATTTTGTGTAAACATGAGGTCTCTTTAGCCATAAAAATAAACATTTTGACATTGGCTCTCCTTCCCAACCTACGGTAATTTCCATTTGACCAGTCTGGTTTTAGCTAAATGACATAAAACAACAGCTTGCCCAACAGACTATTGTTAAGAAGTTATAAAGTACAATATATTTTCCCATACATACATACTTAAAAATATGAGATTCAAACTATTCTTTGTAAAAACCTACTTTGATATTTATTAAAGGTGAGTTAAATTTCCATAAATTTACTACAATCAAGGTGATTTTATACATAAATAGCAAAGAGATGAAATGAAGTCCATACTAAGAGCTTAAAAATAAACTGTGTCCATTTGATTTTTTAATTGCCAGATATATTTACCTCAAATAAACCAACAGAATACAAACTAAAGCAACGACAGGAAATCAACCCCTTACCATACACGTCCGTGAGTTTTCACCAATGAAAGAGTCCCTTAATACCTGGGTTAATTTACTTGCTCGAAAAGGCAAGTAAGCACCTTGATGTCTTAATGCTCTAATGCATTCCTAAACAATGTAAAGCAATTATTTCTTAAAACATACAAACATTCAATTTTTAATACAAGTTTACAAAAAAAATCAAGCTTGTGGAATATGAATCAATCAAAATTAAATCTTCCACACATGGCACTACATAAAATAAAATGTAGTATGCCTTAACTCTAGAGCATAATATTAGTCCAACAATGTCACTGCACCTTCTCAAAGTAAGAGTAACAATAATTTTATTTTGTGTTCTAAAGAAAAGGATTAAATGGTATTATAACAATATTTCAATGGTAAAGTAAGTCTGTTTATACACAGACATAAACCAAAGTTACAGATAACTAGACCAGTTTAAATGTTTTTGGTTTTTGAGTCTTATGGAGAAGAAAGAAATTTCATTAAAAGAAAATGAAGGTTTTTGCAATTATTGAAAAACTTTCATAAGTAGTAAACAGTTCAAAAAAATGTCTTACCTGAAAATTAATTGTCACAATTTTCTTCAGAAGTTAACACTCATGAATACAAGTTTTAACTAAACTGCTAAGTTTGGAGCTTATAGCACTAGAGTGGTGATTTGTGATATGAACCTTAATCAAACATGCACAGGATCAGTCCGCTAGACCAACTCCATATTAGAGAAGAACTGTTGACTATAATTCCAAATTTACTTCATGTATCTACTTGAAACTTGGCAAGCTTTTAGTCGTGTGTACAAGTCTCTTGTAAACAAAAAACAGATGTCTGTGAATTGCCAACGTCAGTCTGAGTCGAAGTTGGAGTGCAAGGTGATGTTCATTTGAAAAGTAAAGATACTTTTGTCCATTATACAGTTTGCAAAATGTATTTGCAGAACCTTTGAAATGCATATGTACCATTTGTTTTTCAGTTCCCCAGTACATTGTACCTGGTATTTACTCTCCTCTATTGATAAATAAATAAATAACTGTTGATAAATAAGCAATGTAGGGTAAAATGAATAGTTGATAACTCTGACATCAAATACATAATACCATGCTGAATGACACTCTGTAAAAAAATCATTTCATGTGCACTTTGACCCATACCCATAGGGTTAAAACCCTTATTCTCAGGTATCCCCAAAATGTCTGTAACAGATACAACATAAACTTTCTCACAACACTTTTGGTGTTTTCAAATCTATACTGTACATGTGAATCCAGATTTTTGTACAGCAAATCTTATATTATACAAAGAATCAGTATACACTTTCCAACACTGTAATTTGTCCAACAAATAGGAGTATTTTGTATGCACTTATTACTGTATTCTTCAATTAGAATTTTTAAAAAACATTAATGGGAGTAAATGTAAGCATCATATTTTCTATATATTAGCTTATATACCATGTATATGTGCATATGGTAGGTTAAGCCATGCTCAAATTATAGAAAGGAGACAAGGCTGAAATTGTTTTTCATTGACCCTACATATGAAAGCTATGTGCAACATTTCAATAAATTATGAGAAAAAAAATATATAAATATATATCAATTGAGAAACATTTAGTCATTCTTTTAAATTTTAGCTAAAAAAATTACTTTGTTTATCTGCTGAACTTCATTATTTCTAAGTCATGTACACTCTTTGTTAATTTCATGGAGGTTTAAAGACACACACACACACATACACATTAAATAAAACATATTTTCTAATTTATATACAAATTTTCCTAATATCTTTTTTCTCCACTGATTGTTTTCATTCTTTGAAATTAAATGACTTTGAGCCAAATCTGAATTTTCTGCTCTTGCAAAAAAAAAAAGAAAAAAAAAAGTCAAACATCCTTAGGTAAGTTGCACAAAACTGAAGTCAACAGTCCAAATCCTTGGTTCAAACTGGTATTTAAGGTGAAAACATTTCTAATTCAAAATGCCATCTTAAGTTTTGAATAATTCATTAAAATGAAATATATATGCTTACTGTTTGAGCACATTACATACATAAAGCTGATAAATTTTCAGCTTTAGCCATAATGTCTATGTTTTACTTAATGGTAACATGTGGTAGGTCTATATTTCACTTTCCTTTTTTTTTTATTTCATAATAATCTCAAAGCAGAAACTAGGTTGTACTCATAAAATCCAGATACAAGTTGAATAGTTAGCAGATGCAAAAGATACAGTAATCAGTACCTTTCATGTCATTAATTCTTGATCAATAACTTAAAAACAAAACTGCATCACATAACAGAAAATGAACAAAATTCTGAATTCAACTAACATGTCAACCTGCCTTCAGTGCTAGTAAACTCTTGTTAATTTCTGCTCCTTCCATTCTCGTCTGTCTATTTGAACTGGAAGTGTCTGCTCCACGTTCATTTCCAGCCTGGTCAATAAGAAATAATTTCCCATGAAGTTTGCCAGACATTCTTATAAAAAAAAAGCATCCTTATTCATTGAATTAAAAAGAGATTAATGATAATATAAAAATAGTTTTTAATTTCTCACATGTAGAAATTTGTAAAGGATTTTTATTCCTCTTACCTTACAAATGGTTTTACTGAGCTAAAGGATATACCATATTGGTCCAATTATAAGGCAATGTTTTTTTATTAATAATTAGGCTGTAAAGTTCATAGTCACCTTATAATCATGACCAAACACAGGCCCCTTCCCCCTACTCTAGCCTGTGCCAGATGTTCGCTCAAGGTTCACTAATTCTTGCAACTAATCCACCTGCAGGCTGTTCCTTTATAGTATTGATTTTGTGGACTCATTTTATTTCTTTCCCATGGTTTCTGAAAATGGGGGTCACCATATATTTGAGATCTCCCTATAATTGGGCCAATACAGTATTTTTAGTATTACAAAATTTTAACAGTTAAGATTTACATGTATACATATATTTCAGTTTTTAAACTACGAAAATACAATTTTTATTACTACAATCAGAAAAGGAAAACATATTTTGGTTGTCAAGAAGTTTTTGACAACTTAATAATAAATAATAATTTATTTATAAATAATAAATCATTTCAGGGTTTAATAACCTGAGCAGGGGCATAGCAAGGATTCTCAGCACCCAGGGGCAAAGACACGTTTGGCATCCCCACCTCTGAAATGTTTTGATTATTTGTTTTGTGACTTAGTACCCACTTAATGACAATGACATAAAGAATTAATTATCGCCTTACACAGGCCTAAAATAAAGTCACAATATAACATCTTACGATATCACAACTGTAAACCTGGAACTAATGAAGTATAGCCTACTGGGTGTACTTACATAATTTGTAAACCATTTTGATATTTATGTCATCCAGTACTGTTCAAAGTTACATAGCTAGAGTAATCTTTCAAGCATGCAGAATAAATTTCTGTTATATTCCTAGTTTTGAAACTTATGTTTTATATGAGAAGCCAGTCACTTGTGGTGTATATGGATTATAAAACAGATTGATAAAATACTACTTAAGTTTACAAATAACAAATTTTATTAGTTTACAAAACTGTACATAGACAGCATGGTCACAAGTAAATAGACACCACCTTTTCAGAAAACGTGAAATTTTTCAGTCATATTCACATGAATTGATATATTTATAATTTAATTAATATCTAGTAGATTTTCCTTTCGCTTCGTGAAGTATGTTGATCCTTTGGGGCATCGTGAGAATAATCTCGTCAATTTTAGATTGTGGGATTTTCGCCCACTCTTGCTTCAAAACTTGGAGTAGATCGCTCTTCGAAGTTGGTTCTTGACTTGCCGGTTGAGTATGGCCCAGAGGTTTTCAATGGGGTTCACGTCAGGAGATTGGCTCAGCCAGG